AACTAGTGACAGGTTTAGAAACTGCCATATTATGAAAGTTGTGCTGTTAAAGACACCTTCCCCTCCGAGTTCTCATTTCTTAATGAAAGCTCCACTTTTAGCTCCTATAGAAACTCACAAGAACTTCTGCATACTACATTTCCCAGTATACCAGACAGTAATAGAAACTCATGCAGAAACAGGAAGGAGCAACGTCTGACTGCAAGCATTTCAAGTGCCAGAAGGCTTGGGAGTACAAATTCAGTGGCAAATTTCTGATTTCCCAGGTAAACATCTAGATTCTGTGCTCGCTAAACTGCAGTTTTAATCAGAAACATTTGAGCTGGGAAGCAACAACTCAAAGTACGCCTGCAAATCTCCATTTTTTAAAAAAAAAATTCACATTTGATTTAAGTGTTTATTGATGAAAGCTTATTTCTTACTGGCATTTCACTCCTCGTTGGTATGTTTGCAACATAACCCTCTCTATGTTTACCATATGGAGCTTGCACGATTTCCCTATCCAAAAAATGACCATGCTAAATCCCCTAAGAGATATGCAAGATTCAAGTCTGAAACAAGATGTGACCAAAAACGTCATCCACAGAAAAAGGATCCCTAGTGTGAAATATTTAATTACATTATGAAGATTAAAATTCACTAAGAAATGAAACATTGCATAATTCAGTTGTTTAGGCATCTGGTTGCAGAGCCAAAGGTTGGGAGTTCGATTTTTCCACTGTGCCTCTTTGACAGGGGAATAGACTCAATGATCCATAGGGACCCTTGCAGCTCTGCAGTTCTAAGATCATTAATCACTTGAAGTTAGGTTAAAATATAGCATTATGGGAGAAAGCAAAGCAAAAAGTGGTAGAGAAGGTAGACAAGTATTGATTATCTCTTAGCACAATGAATATTTGTAGGGAACGTGAACTTAGCACCAGGAGACAATGTACAGAAATGTACACAGAGCATTTTGTGAATGCGATTAAGATCTGCCCAGAATTTTACAATATCTGAAGACATTGGAAAAATTTGGTTAATGCAACATAAACCAAGGGCATGTCTGCATTTTTACGCCAACACAATGACTTCATTCACAAAGCCTGCTTCCACATTACTTTTCATTAGCAGTACAGCACAATTCTTTCCTTATTGTAAGGAAGAGGGTGAAAATATACACCATACCCCCACATGATAAAACAGCAGTCCATCGTGTACTCTTTCTCACTTTGCCATAATGCTATGGCTAAGACAAAAACAATGCTGCACAGACTTGAAACATTCAATATAGATTCCAATTCCCAAGAAAGGAGACACTAAAGAGTGCTGTATCTATAGGATTGTTGCATTCACTTCCCACACAAGCAAAATGATGATCAAAATTTGGAAACAATGACTTTCACCATACATGGCATGAGAAATGGCTGATGTTCAAGCTGGATTCAGAAAATGAAGAGACACTAGAGACCATATTTCAAGTATATATTGGCTACAGGAGCATATCAAAGAATTTCAGAAGAAAACCACCCTGTGCATGATAAATTACAGCAACGCCTTTAACTGTTGTTGTTGACACTTCAACATATATACTCTCCCTTAGTACTAGAGTACTCTCTGGTCAGTTTACAACATAACTATGCAAAGAACACTTTGCCCGCCCACCCACCGTCTAGGTACTCATTTTGCTGACCTCAAAAGATAGAAGGCTAAGCCAACTCTGAGCTGGCTATGTATGTGGACCATGAAAGGTGATGGTTTGTAAACAGGTGTACCTCAAGATTTGATTACCTGGTGTGCAATCTACATTCTAGACATGAATCTACTTTTAGAACAAAATGGCAGAAGCGTAGTAGTAAGCTGCAACTTGAGCAGGCCTATGGAATAAACTTAAGTTGCATAGATTTTGACCCACCAAATCCCCACTGATTCAACCGGGCCACCGTAGTTGCAATTTACTGCAGGATTACTGCCAAAATTTTCCATAAACAAAGATGTCAGGAAAGGGTGTACTTTTTCTCCCTGTATGTTTGGTCTATTTGCAGAACACATCATATGGAAAGATGAATTATATTCCAATGAGGAGTGAAAGCTAGTGAGAAAATATCAGTAACCTAAAAGATTCAGACGATACTGGGGAAAAGCAGCAATAACCTCTGACTGATTTCTGACTGATGGTGAAGGAAGAAAGTGCAAAAGCAGGGCAGCAACTGAATATTAAGATGACAAAAATAATGACTCCAGAAGAACTAAATAATTTTAATGTTGACAAAGAAGACATTGAAATTGTTAAAATTTTGTATACCGTAGTTCTATCAGAAACCAAGGAGACTGCATCCAGGAAATAAGAAGAGGACCGAGATTTGAAAGGGCCTCTGTGAAGGAACTAGAAAAATCCCCAAGCACAAGGATATGTCACTGGAGACCAAAGAAAAGTTCATCCTATAATATTCCTGAATACTGTGTTTGGATATGAAAGCTGCCCAGGAAAGAAAGCAGAGAGGAGGGGAAAAAAAAGTATTCATTTGAATTATGGTGTTGGAGGAGCTTTGTGGATATCGCACGCCACCAAAAAGACAAATGAGTGGATTCTAAAATCAAATTCAGCCACAATTCTCCAAGGAGCAAAAATGACAAAAATTTGGCTATTGTACTTCGGGTGCATCATGAGCACACAAAATTCATTATCAAAGATGCAACCCTGGGAAAAATTGAAAGCAACAGGAAAAGAGGAAGACTAAGTAAGTGATGGACTGATTCCATAAAAGAAGCCACAGCCTTGTGTTTGCAAGAGATAAGCAGTGTTGGCCACCAGGACAGAAAAGAGTGTACTCTTCTTTAACAATAATTGGTTATGAAGAGTTTAGGACACATACTGCTATGCACCGATTTCCCAATATGTCTTTCCAACAGAAAAAAAAGAGTGCATGCTGAAACATATACGAGTCTCCGCTGGACTGGCAGAGAATATTTTTGCTGCCCAAAGAAAAAGACAAGATCATGCCCACTAAAGATAGACACACTGACTAGCCAAGCAGCTGAACCTCCGTTTGACACCAATGAGGCTAAAGCTATCTTAGAAGTGTGCGTGGGGGGGCACAGAGAAGGGCACCTCGCTGCCACTCCTAGTCCCAACAATTCACCATTTTGAGCATGGCCCTCTTTGCCTGATGGAAAGGCTGCAGCCGGTCCTCGTTTACCACCACAGAGGGAGGAGGGAAACCATACATCTCCCCTTCAGCAACTCAGGAGGGGAGGGGAGCCCCTCCCCAAACGTGAGGATGAGGCACCTGCCTCACCACTTGCATTCCAACTGTCCGAAAACACAGCCTGCAACTCAGCCTACACCTTCCCACCACCATCACCTTCTTCTGGTGCGAAGTCCCAACCTGAAGAATCCCAGGGAACAATCGATTCCCGTGTTTACCCTTCAGCATCAACTCTCCTTCCCCTCTCTCTGTTTTTAAGAAATATGCCCCACAGTGATTTTGCAACCCACTTTTAAAAGCACTAGAAGAGGAAGTTGGAAAAGCACTAAGCGGAGGCCCTCATCTTCGTGCAGCTTCCTGCAGGCCCGCCGCCATTCTACCGAGAGAGGCAGGCAAAACAGAGGCGGTGGTACCGAGAACGACGCCCAGCTCCCCAAAAGGACTTCCTCTGGCCAGTTTCTAGTCCCTTTGGCTCTGCAACAGACTCGAAAGTCCGCGGCCACGTCCTGAAACCTCAGAAACTGATGGGGCTCCGCCAGAGTTCCAGTAACCGGGGCAGGGGCGGGCCTCGCGCTGCCTCAGGGCTGTCTTCCCCCCCCCTCCCCACACTCAACGACAGCCGGATTGCTGCGCGGGGGGGGGGGGAAAAGTTGACACCGCGCACGGGGCAGAGGAAGGAACGTCCCGCCAAGTCCCCGAGGCCGGAGGATGCTCTGTTCCTTGGCCCAAGACCGGCACCGGCGTCTAGGATGCCGCCTCCCCTTCGCACCCACGGTGCCCCCGCCGGGTTCTTCATTCGTATCCCAACGAAGAATAACTAACATGCGCGCCCTTTCTAGGCGGCAGCAGCAGCAACGAGCACAGCTCAATATTCTTTTTTGCGCCCAGTATCCGTTTGGTGAGACGAAATCGCCCCTTGCCACGCAACCCGGGTTGCTTTTCCCCGGCCCCTGATCGCTGGTGTCGTCAAGTGCCGTCGACTGATGGCGGATTTAGGCACTGCGGACCTTCCAGCAAGCCCATCATCCACGGCAGCGCCGCTCAGACCTTCCTTGCAAGCCAATACTCGCCCTTCCCTGCGCGGAGCGGACCAGCCTCCGCTTGCCTCTCCCTCTCTTTCCTACCGCTTCATCTTTTCCTAGCTTTCCCCTAATATTTCGTTGGCAACTTTCTCTAAGGCAGCCCAAGGCGGCGTAGTGGGTCGAAGGCCGTTCTAAGCAGCAGGAGACCTGGGTTCGAATCCTCACTCCGCCGGGGAAACTCAGGAGGAGCGGCAGTGGTCAAGTCACTCCTTGAACCCCACACATTACCTTGAAAAACACCGCGGGGTGGCTACACCTCGGGACGCCCTTCGACAACACACAATATACGTACTTGCGTCTCTAACCGTTCTGGAGATCTCATTGGCGTTTATCTTCCAGGCGCATGACAATAAAGTTGTTCTTTAGTCATTTAGTCCTGTCCGACTCTTCCTGACCCCATGGACAAGAGCACGCCAGGCCCTCCTGTCTTCCACTGCCGCCCGGAGTTGGGTCAAATTATTGTTGTCACAAATTTGGTCAAATTTATCACAATAAAGTAGAGCCTCCCCCCCCCAAAAGCAAGGGCTTTTATTTATTTCAAAAGAAGGCTGGCGGAGTCCAGCCCCACAAGCTCGCTCCCTCCTGAAGCGTCTGAACCCCTGTTGCGTGTCCCCACCACCAACAACAAGAAGGTCACGGAAGCCTCCACCCGGCCACCGCCCCCTTCGGAGCAGCCCCACAGCGACACAGCCCAGAGAGCCGTCGCCCAGCCATCGACCCACCGACCGACCTGCTCTTCTTCTCTTCCTCCCTGAGTCCTGAGGCTTCGCCCACCCGGCCCATCCTGAGCCGCAGTCAGTGGCAGTGGCGCCGGCAGCGATCCCTTAGCCCGGCGCTGAGTTCTCCGCGCCCCGACGCCGGCCGAGCGAGCGGACGACCCAAACACCCCATGGCCCGGACGCCGGCTTCTTGTAGCCCTCGCCCTCGCAGCACAGCCGGGCCGAAGGCGGGCCCCCCCCCTCCGGCGCTGCAAGCCCCGCCTCTTCCCCACCCGCCGGCGTTAAAGGGCCCGGCGGAGGAGGAGCCGCCGCTGCCTTTCCCCCGAGTGGGGTCCGGGTGTGTGTGGAAGAAGAGGCGACCCTCCCCAAACCAACCAACCCTCCTGGGGTGGCCCAAGCGCCGCTTCCCGCCAGTCCGAGACTCCCCCGTTTTTCCAATCTTGGGCGCGCACCTCAAAACCTCGAGGAACGGCGAGGGTGTCGCCCTGTTGATCTTCTCCAGAAATCCGGTCGAGTTACGGCGAAGTCCCCTGCGCGCGTGTTTCCTCCGAAGGCAGCCCCCACTGAGTCCTGCCGTCGGCTTCCTCCTCGGCAAGTCCGCGCAGGATCCACGGCCTCCAGAGAAATCCGCCGAGGCCTCCTTGCCCAAGTGCTGGCAGAAGGCGACGCCCGTCCTGCCTTGACGGGAGCCAAGGTGTGGGCCGAGGCGGACTGAGGATGATGGGCCTTGTAGGCCCGGGGGGGGGCTTTCAGGGAGCCTGCCTTTAAGCCCTCTTTGCCCTGACGCCCTGCGATGGCATCTCAGTGGTTTTCTGCAGAAGTTTTAAGATGGGCCACTTCTTAGCTGGTAGCTGGGTTGGCCTCCTGCTGCAAAAGCAAAAAAAAACACACCAACATGTGTCCTGTTGCCTTTAGCAGGCTTCATATTGCACAGACTGGCATGGACAAATTTTGGAGCGAGAGGTTTATGGGCTCACTGGTTATGATAAAGGAAGTATGACAGAATGAAAGGAAGAGGGCATAAAAAAATCTTTATTACTGGTGCATTTTTGAAGGATTAGTGAGTGTAATCATCCTTGCATGATATGAAATTGTAGAGAGGGACAGGTATTTCTGCTCTTCCTACTGGTTTTGCCTTGTCAAGAACCCATCAACGAAATCCCTAAGTGCAAACAAAAAGTTCAAAGTGTGCCTTCCTCCCTCAGCAAATGGCCTGGTGTGAAAGCCAGGTAACCCTGAGAAAGAAATCAATTTTGTCTCTGTTCTCACAAGCAACTGTTAGAAATGTGTGAATATCATCAGCTGGTGGGCAAGGAAGATCAAATGGGTAATTTCCTAATGGGTCAGACACATGTAAATCTCTTCAGAGAGAAAGATGGATACCCAGTTTCCAAAGCCCATTCTCTCTCTCTCTCACTCTCTCTCTCTCTCTCGCTCTCTCTCTCTCTCTCTCTCACACACACACACACACAAAACAAATTATTTCCAAAGCCCATTCTCTCTCTCTCTCACTCTCTCTCTCTCTCTCGCTCTCTCTCTCTCTCTCTCTCACACACACACACACACAAAACAAATGATTTCCAAAACCCATTCTCTCTCTCTCTCTCTCTCTCTCTCACACACACACACACACACACACACACACACACACACAGAATTTTGTGCTGAGGGACATGAAGTGATGAGAAAGTGGGGGCTGTGGTTTAAGTGTGTGTGGCTTATTCACACATGAGGCTGGTCAGCAAAACAGAATATATATATTCCATTTTGTTGACCAGCTTCATGTGTGAATAAGCCACTCACATTTAAACCACGGCACCCACCTTCTTATCACTTTATGTCACCTCACCTCAGCACAAAAGTTTTCTGTGTGGACTTTCACACAGTTCCCAGAATCATCAACTGATGTGTAATCAAGTGTTGGGAGAGTAACAGTGCACCCCTAAGCTTGTGTACTGAAAAAAGTAGGTTTAAGTACATTTGGTGGGGTTTACTGCTTCTATGTAAATATGCTCAGGATTGTAACTGAAAGATGCAGTTCTCTACATTCTTACCTTGGCTGTTAGGTCCCACTGAATTCAGTGCAACTTGCTTCTCAGTAGACACTCCTAGGATTGCTCAGTAAGGAATCCATACAGATCTGTTTTGAGATATTTAATAATAATAAATGTGTGGTAGAGATTCGTGGGCAGTTGGTGTTATAAAAAAATGTGCCACCAATATAGTTGCAGAGCCAGAGGTTGGGAATTCAGTTCCCCACTGTTCTTCTTGGGAGAAAAGCCAGCCTGTATAGTCATGGGCAAGTTGCAGTCCCAGGGCACTCCCAGAAGAAGAAATTGTTCAACCACTTCTGAGTATTCTCTGCCTACAGAAGCCCAGAGAAAATCATTGTCAGTCCGATCAATTTGACAGCATGCAGGAAAAAACCAACAGAAAGAAAGAAACCCCACTTCCCTGTGTTTTCTCTCCTACCCAATTACCTCCAACAATCTGTATTTTTTTTTATTTCAAGCTTAAACTTTTAGGTCACAAGTGCCCCTAAATGCACTGCTGGTCTGCATTGCTTGCACTTGAAGATCTCAAGAGATGCCAGAACTTCCCACAACATCTCAAAGTATGGTTCTTGCACTGTTGTATTTATGTGCTGCAGCAGAGTAACCTCGGTCCCTCCTTTTGGCTGGCAGCACAGCCTGTTACTGCTGAAAAGTGGTGTGAGCGGTGAAGTCCTAGAGAGAACGCACAGCATGCTCACTGCAGCTTTGCATGCTCTGTTCACAATCACCCGCAGAGCCTGCTCAAGTGAATTACTCTTTGGCAGGTTGACAGCTGAAGGGGATTACCGAACAACATGGTCGTTTGCACTGGGGGCTCATGCTGGGAGGAAGGAAATGTACAACAAGGAGGAAGATAGTTTTCCGGGCGGTGTGTGTGCTTACGGGGAGCCTGTGCTGCAATTGTTGCTCCCTAGAGATGTACACAAAGTGACGCCCATTCTTGGGCAGCATGCTGCAGCACACTGGCATCCTTTTGGCCAGCCTGTGACTCCATTTGCAGTTACTGTTGGAGCAAGGAGGCACTGGAGTCTTCAAGAAACACTGCCCCTGTTTCATAAAACTTTTAAAACAACAACAATTAGCCAGAAGTTAGAAAAATTACTTTCTCAGACTCCCGCAGTTGTGATCATGCTGAGTAGGGTATTCTGGGAGTTATAGTCCAGAAGTCAAAATGCAAGAGTAGGTGGTGACTTTATTAAATACTTTATTTGTTTATTTGTATTTTGTTTTATTTAGAGGCCATATTTCTTCCAATAAAGGGGATCCAATAATAATATGTGCCATGAAGTCCATTCTGACTTGTGGTGACCCTTTTCAGGCCTCTACCTTTTCTAGGAAGAGAATACTCAGAAGTGTTTGCTTCTTCCGGGGGGCACCTCGGGACTGTGCAACTTGCTCAAGCCCACACAGGCCTGTTTTACTCACAGAAGGTGCAACAGGGAATCAAATTCCCAACCTCTGGCTCCATAACTAGATACCTAAACCACTGAGCTATCCAGCCAGTTGTCCTTTATTGGAGACTTTTATTAAAATGAGGTTGAATGGCCATCTGTCAGCAATGCTTTTAGGTGTGAGTTGCTGGACTGGCAGAGGGCTGGACTGAATGACCCTTGGTAGTCCCTTCCAGCTCTACAGTTCCTTATCTGAGACCAAAATAGTAAAAAGAGACATGACTGTGAATATCTTCCAGACTTCTTGGCTTGTGTACTGCTGCCTAAATGCAGTGTGGAAGGGAAGTTGCATAAGCATCCCCTCCACTCTGGCAGGCTTCCAATTGTGTGGCCAGTTGCATGCTGATATTAGTACTCGTGTAAGGAAGGACATATGACAGAAGGGAGCCTGGCAGAGAAAAACAGGAGGGTTGTGTGATTTTTCTTTAGTTCCACATTAGTTCCAACAGCAACTGGAGATTCACCTGGCACACTCGCTGGGAGTTTTTAAGAACATGCTGAAGACTTGGTTCTTCTGGCAGGCCTTTCCCCTTTCCAATGCTTAGTTCCCTATCGCTTACCATCTTGGACTTTGCCTATATCTGTGATGTTTGATGTTGTTTGTTTGTTTTAATTTTGTTTTATATTCGGACTGTAAGCCACCCAGAGTAGATTCATTGAATCTAGATGGGTGGGGGTAAAAGCATAGATAGATAGATATAGATAGATAGATAGATAGATAGATAGATAGATAGATAGATAGATAGATAGATAGATAGATAGATAGATAGATAGATAGATAGATAGATAGATAGATAGATAGATAGATAGATAGATAGATAGCATTATAATGATAATCATGTTCTGTCAAATCCATTCTGGCATAGTGCAACCCTTCTCGCAGTTTTCTGGTTACAAAATATTCAGAAGCAGTTTATCAATCCTTTCTTGGGGGGAGTAGAACATTGAAGAACATTGCATGCAAATAACTGTATGAATGCATAGATTAGATTAATGGCATATGCGTACATGTGTTTACATGTGAACTTCCTTGAAAAGAGTTTATAACCATCCTGTACAGATTTACTGAAAACAAGCCTTTCTCCGCTACTGCCTGTCATGTTACTTTGTGCAACAAATCTTATATTAATAATTATGTGTTGTCAAGACACTTCTGGCTAATGGCAACCCTTTCTAGGATTTTCTAGGTACAGAATGCTCAGAAGTGGTTTATCATTTCCCTCTTCTGGAGCTACTCTGAGATAGTGCTGCTTTCCTAAGGCTACGCAGGTATTCTTCTGTCAGGAGGCACAGTGGAGACTCAAAAGTCTCAACCTCTTGTTCCACAGTCAGTACCCAATTCACACTAATGCTCAAGTCTGAGACAGGCTGCAGTAAATTTTTTTAATGTGACTTATTCTTTGATAACTCACTTTCCTTTTAAAACAAGTGAGATCTGGACAGACCAACAGTAGAGACTTGCAATGTTGCCAATGGTCTAAGCGGGGGAAACAGTCTGAACTCACCTTGTTCATAGGCAACCAGGATTCCACCCATTATCATGATGAGCAAGATACAAATTGAAAAATGTGAACCCATACTACCTCTTGACTCTTTAGTGGAGAGATGAGCAACTTAAGGGCCCTCGGAAGTTGTTGGACCACAATGCCTGTCATCTCGAACTGTTTTGCCTATTACAAATGGGAACTGTAGTCCAACCTTATCTGAAAGACCTCA